CAAATGATTTGTAGATTGCCAACCCCTTCATGATAGATTGGCAGCTGAAATATTTTGTTGTCGCCCAGAGGTTAGCAATCCAGTTACATTGTTTACCTGTCAAGTTTCTACATTTCGTTGTTCATACCCTCGTCCACAGAGTGATTATTTGTCTTAAATTGGTTTTTGCTATACCTTGCTGATTTTCATCACTGTGTTGTTTTCTGTGGTTTCAATCATTGCTTATCGATGCCCCCTATTTTAATATAGTTGCTCGTTGAAATCTGTCCATCCATCGTTGATTTTTGTCGTTCTGTCGCTCGTTTTTTGTCACTCTGTCGTTAATGTTTGTTGCTCCTCATCTGTCGCAGGTATGGCGCCACGGAACGATGCCACGGCCGTGTCGGATGAGCTAAATCTGCTGCCTGACGACCACATGGCACCCCTCGCCGAGGACAAGGTGGTCCCGACACGTCTTGTCTGGCGGAACATCATCTTGATGACCTACCTGCACGTCAGCTGCCTGTATGGCATCTACCTCTGCTTCTACTGCCACTGGCAGACACTCGTCTTTGGTGAGTACAAGCGATTCGGGGCAGCAGTTCTGGTTCTTCTCTATCGCAGCCATGCACATCACAGCAACCACCAGCAAACTATAGCAAACATTGCGGGCCCTTGAGCAGAGCATTTTAATTAGTGTGTTACTCGCATTAATTTTAACTTCTGAATCGGCTAATAGTTAAGTGTATCTTTTCATGTTAACATTTTTATTATGTTACCATTGTGTGATAGCTGTTCCCATATCAACACATCCTTGCTAACCAGAAGGTGAAATCTAAACGTTTCAATTATATTTATAGTGCTAGACATTGAATTTTCCATTTGGCCTTTATCATGTACTACTGTGCAGGCTGTAAAATTTTACGTTACCGTGTTTTGATAGCAGTTTGTATCAACTACCATTCAGTGTATTAAATATGGTAAATTACATACCTCTTTTATGTGCAAATACTATCTATAGGGTCTTATAGTCCTTGTATGTCATTAGTCTACACTGTTATATAGTCCTCTTTCAGACACAAAATGTCAAATTCGGTCAGTATCTTCATTTTAAGCAGTTGCGAAAGGGCTACACTTTGCAGATTCCCTACAAGCCGCCCGTTCCAGCTTGTGCGAGTTTGGTATTCGATTCTCTAATACATAATTACTACAATATACATACTAATAAAAATACATTGCTTTTCACTGTTTTTCTGCAGCGTATGTGATGTACGTCGGTGGTGGTATAGGTATCACTGCTGGCGCCCACAGGCTCTGGTCGCACCGTGCCTACAAGGCAAAATGGCCGCTGCGCGTCTTCCTGGCCTTCTGGAACACAGTCGCCTTCCAGGTAAACAACAGAGCATTTGTTAATGTGCGAGTCGAGGTTTTAGCGCGCATGTCGAGGAAAAATGCAAGTAATGAAGCAGGACGGCATTTAACTGCGATCTGTTAGCTTATATTCACACGCGACGGCTCTGTCACAGTGCGAGATCAACACTAGCTTGCTACCCGGTGCCACCAAAAAATCTACTCTGGTTAGAAAGAATCTAGGATTATACCGTGTGCATGACCTGTTTTAGCTGATAATGTTTTAACCAGAGAATAAATGTGCTGACATGTACATACCAATAAATGCGATTATGAAATCAGCGTCATTAATCGTTCCTCATGATTGCAGATGAAGGTTAAATAATACATGTATCACAAAACACATGTGCGAAAAGCTATGCGACGGTAACTAACGTGAAAACCATGTCGTAGAAAAGTACGAATTATGTCAAAACGAAGGAAGCTACGCGGTTTGTAATACTACCGGAAGAGAGAATAAGGACCAGTGAACAAAATAAGCTCATGTTTGTATACATTTCTATTTTTATTCACATCGAACTCGTCTGACAAAAATGTAGTGAAATCAGTACCAAATCGCTGTCTTACTCCTTTGTCATTATACGCTCCTGATGTGATGTTTGTGTGGTGTGTGCTGTTACAGGACTCTACCATCAGCATTTTAAAAGGCTTGCCACAGCACACTCAGACAATATACTCCAGAGCAAACTCCATCACAGGTTACTCAGCAACTATCTGTAGTATCGTAAATAGGTGAGTTTATTATGATGACCTCAACTGTTGTTTCTTCTGCTGTTGAATCATGCAGTGTGTCAACATTGACACTTGACTTTTTGATAATAACTTTTTTATTATTTAGGCAAATAATTTGTATTCGAAATGAGAATATATGTTTGACAGAATGTCACTTGATACACATGCTTAGTAATACATAGATCTACATAGAGGTTAGCAATCCAGTTACTT